CACATCTGAGTCAAACATGCTGTACTCCTATATTTAGATCACAACCACACATTTTTCTATTTTATTGGTAAAAAAATCGGCTTTTAGAAAAAAAGAAAGAAAATGACAGACGATCTCCTTAAACAATGATATGTATTGACGGTGTTGAAGTTTACTAAAAGAGGCGATGCGGACAAATTGCGCTTTTCCAAGCTGTTCATAAAAGGTTCATGCACTTTGACATCATATGATTCTATTTTTTTTCTCTAGAATATTAAGTTACAGTTGACGTTCCCCAATGGCATGTGTTTTTCTCTCTGTAATATTTACTGATATTCCATGGAAATAAAAATGATACACTCTTTCAACCCTTTCTCGACATTTAAACATTATAAGGTGATTAATTGAAGTTTTAATCAGATTATTTCTTTACATTATCGTTCAATAGCAATCGTAAAAACATCGTTTCTTTCCGTGTACTTTGGATAAGTGCCCTAGTACACACAAACGTAATTCGCTCCAAGGTAACTTTTGCAAACATTTTCAATTTCAAATATCACTTTTGTTATTTTTTCTACTGTATAAAAACATATTTCTTTCACTTTTGCAACAAAAGAGGCACATGGAGACCACCCTTTTTACCATGTGACTGAAAGCAATTCCAATATGTCGCCTTATTATGTCAGGGGTGTACTGCGAAGAAAAATCGCGGAGGATATCAGATGAATCAAACTATTACACATGTACATCGTCTTATAAGTAATAGTTATAGTATATGAAACGAGGCAGTCACGGGGATATACCACTGGCTGGGGCGACATCAAGGGATGTTTCTGCTAAAAAAAGCGAGGCCGTTAGGCCGAGACAATTTTTTGCAGAAACATCCCGAGATGTCGCCCAGCCAGTGTAATATCCTCGTAACTAACGAGTTTCATATACTATAATTGTTTTATCGCAATGGCATGTTTTCTTTTTTTTGTAATAGAAATAAATAAATAAATAAATAAATAAATAAATAAATAAATAAATAAATAAATAAATAAATAAATCAATCAATCAATCAATCAATCAATCAATCAATCGTTAACTACATTATGTACAGTTATATATGATAAGGCAGTTTTTTTTCAAGTTGTTTTCACTGCCGCAAAAAAGATATACAAAAGACATCCAATGTAAGAGGCGGATTGTAAATTGTAATATTGATTCAAGATTAAAGAGCTTTTTTCAGTGGAAATAATTCATTCAGCAGATGTACCAGAGTAAATTACATTTCATTAATTATCTTTGTTTATATTTTTCATTGTATTTATTTATTTTATTTTATTGATTCCATTATTTTGCTAATGGGAATGGTCGTTACCACTGCCCCATTGGAGCCTCTTTGAAAAAACTGCATTGATATATACAAGGTGCGAAAAAACTCAAACGCTATATAGCAGTCGAGTTTTTTTCCTATATGAATCAATGAAAAAATGATACTGTTATATATCAATACAGTTTTCAAATGCTCATTGAAGAGTACTGAGTATAATGGGTTCGTAAGAACAAAGGAAAAGTTCCAAATCATGCGATAATTATAAATATTTTTTCCGAAATATATACAGTGTATATAAAAAATTGATAAGATCTAGACAGAGCTAAAAAAATCTTTTTCAAATCAAAATAGAATATAAATAATCCATGTAATCGCTATAATGAAGATATGTCTATGATATCAGAGGAAGTTTTATTTTACAAAGCAACATTTCTTCTTATCAGATTTTAGCGCATCAGTGAATTTAAAAATAACATGTTTCCTATAACAGAAGCGTATTGTCTTCTTTTTTCTTATATCATTTTATAACAACAAGAATAAAATGAAATGATATTCGGCCTCTACATCATGTGAAAAATTTACAATACAAACATTATCTTGCATTTCTTTCAGTTCTATTCTTTGTAACCTACCAGTTGGTACGTGTAATAAATGAGAAGATTTTATTACTTTCTTATTGTATAAATACTGTCTCTGGAACACGGCTAAAAGATAATACCTATTCTTTAAAATACATGTTTTACAAACTGATTCTAGAGATGTTTCGACTCGATCAATAACATGAAATAATGAGACGTTTTAATTTCTTATTTGCTTGTAAACATAATCAAATAAAACATGATTTCATTTTTACCCATCAAAACTCACCGATAAAACGTCTCATATGTGTCAATTATTAAAACATATCTAATACGTATTAAAAAAACAAATATTTTTTTTTACAGCCAATCATTTTAATGACATTTATTTTCATTCCTTTTATTTCAAAGAAAGAATTTCCAACTAATAAACCTACTTATGGTTTTGTTTCCAATCTTCTTAAATTACAAAACCAATTGCTTTGTGATTCATGATATTTTTTATACATTAAATGTAAGAAAATGAAAAACAACTCCTTATTTTAGAACAAATGAGCCGTGTCACGACAAAACCAACATAATGGGTTTGCGACCAGCATGGATCCAGACCAGCCTGCGCAGTCTGATCAGGATCCATGCTGTTCGCTAGCAGTTTCTTTACTTGTTATAGGGTCTTTATGCGAACAGCATGGATCCTGATCAGACTGTGCGGATGCGCAGGCTGGTCTGTATCCATGCTGGTCGCAAACGCACTATGTTGGTTTTGTCATGACGCGGCTCAAATGTCATTTGATGAAACCACGAGCCATTGTCACGATTTTTTCGGATTTGTCCAGTATACATATTTTAAGTTCTGTACTATACTATATAACAAATACTTTACCATTGAAATAAAATAAAATCACAGACATAAATGGATAATAAATGATATAGTATGATATTTTCAAGCTGACTGCAATAGCATTACCTGTTTTCTTCTACATTTTAAAGGAACTCCACTGAGGCCCAAAAGCCTAAAAACATTAAATTTGTATCCTTACATAAAACACTTAAAAAAGAGAAAAATGCAAAAGATTATTTAGAAATATACTAAGAAATTAAATCGTATTTTATGCTATTCTTAGCCTGATTTGAGTGAAAAGCATTGCAACGTTTTTCATTTTTGGGTTATTATTCGCTTTAAAAATAATTATTATCCTGGAAAAAACTGTTGAGCGAATGATCTAAAATTTTGCACACAAATTATTAGTCTGCACCTACACCAAATGGAGCATTAATCTCGAAAAAATATATATCCAGTCATGTCATGTTAAAAAAACCTTCAGTGGAGTCCCTTTAAGTTTCAACTTATTTTACTGCAGCACATACTTGTAAAATTTTATATAAATGTTAAGTATGTACCAAAAGCCAAATGGGTTAGGTTACATGTTCTTACAACATTTGATTAAGCTCTACCCAGAAATGAATATCATATTTTAGACACATGTGCTCGAAAATACTCGGATTTTTTCTTAAATATTTATTTTCAAATATCAATATTTGTTATATTAATATTTGTGTTATAAATATATTGTTTTTAAAACAAAATATCAAAATAAACAAGATATCTCACAAAACTAAACAACAATGATACTAGTAACTGGAAAATATGAACTACTGAATTATTTATGTCATTTTTGACATTGTTATATTATTTTCACATATTTAATTCAATTTAAGATTTTAATGAACCACCTATTCAAACAGGTTTTAATGCTACTACTAGATTACAATGACTAGATATATCTGACTTGATAATAAAATGAAAAGATTTTGTTTAATAGGAATTGTGCGGAAAACGAATTAGCGAAAATTAACGAAAAGCGGATGCATCAGTATATAGACTGACATAATTTATTTGCATTTTACATAACCTTAACGTACTATTATGATATTACAGAAACATTTAAAGCAGCATGCTTCCAGATTCATGCGAATCATTATGAAATTGTTGAACATGTTTTTAAAAGTAAACATTGTGACGTGAACAAAGTATTGCAAACGACATTTTCAATACACGTAAATTACCAAATACATGTCATGAATATACAAAAATGGCCCATGCTTTGTTAGTCACGCAGTAGAAATATGGTGATAAATGCTGCAAAAGTAGTCATTAATCGCACATTATATGCAAATTATGACTTGAATCTTTTTAGTTTTTCTTAATATCTCAGTACATTTTTCTCAAATTTGATTTTCTTCAAATATTTTTGCTCATGTGGAGGCATGCAGCTTAAAAGTGGGGGTCAGAGAGCTCGTTTCTAAATTAACTGTACTTCAATGTGAATTTTCATTTTACTATTGTAGGTAAGTTCTTGTGCAGTTAACTTATACTTAAGTCTGAGAAATTTTGCTATATATGTTTTTTTCTTCATTTTACCGTTTGTAACAATACACGATTTTATGAAATTCAACTAAACAGTTGTGTAACCTTTTTTGAGATCAATTTAAAAGACTGAGCATTATTGAAAAATTAGCTACCTTAAAAAAAAATTGGCATAAGTTTAAGAAGTAAAAATAAAAAAGGTAACTAATAAGTGAGCTAGCTACGTTGAAGGCCTTGCTAATATGTGAATTATCTGCTTTAGTGTTTTTTTTTTTTTCAAAATCAAGGGCAGATAACTCTAAAAACGAGCTCGGTTGCTCTCGGTCACTTACAACGTTTCTACAATCATACATCTTAGATCAAGGAAACTTTAAATAAATTATATTACACCGTTTTCATTCTGCTTATATTTTATATAGCTGTAGCAAAAAATAATGTATGATATTCACTCAAGCTGCATTTGTCTTAGCAAAAATAGAAATGCATTTTCAATTGAAAAGACACTGGCCTTCTACACACCGCATGAATTTTACCTCTTGAATATTATTAAATATATAATTTGTAAAGATATTGTCGTCAAATCTTCGTTTTATGTCAATATTTGGTTACGAAATAAACAACAAAAATTACTCAAATAAATATTGAAAAACGCGTAGTGAAATATTTGAACTCATCATTTAAATATATAATTATTACCATCAATCTGCATGTACTTTTATCAATGAAAAAAACAATTAATTATTATAAACAAACTTACTTTCTCTTTTTCTGTAAAGTCCTTTCTGCTGTTCGCTATTTGTTTGTTGAACTCCTTTTTATATATGTTTTATGTTGACCAATTCAGCAATCAAGTTAGTTTGTTCTATTTGCCACAAAAACAACACTGTTATACAAATTTTCATCAAAGTAGGCGTCTTTCGGGATTGTCGCTTCATTAATATTTATTTTTATCAAAATCGGCATGTTTGCGCTTAATTCAGTTTCGTGCGCATGCGCAAGCGGGCATCGATCATGCGCAAACATTCGACTTGAGTATTTCCTTAGTTTTTATTTTGCTATAAAGTGATTCTATTGATAATTACACTGTGTTACATTAATTTTTTTTACGTGTGACGAACTCTTTCAGAAAAAGGTAAAAAACCGATTGCAAAAGACTCTCGAGTGAATCGAATTGAACGTATAATGTGCTGTAATTAGGCAGAATGTAGTAATATCTACTTTCGATGCTTTAGTTATTACACCTATAAGTGGCTATAGATTAGTTGTTAAGAGCATCAGATGCGATCGCTATAAAGAAAACAAATAGTCTTTTATAACAGTAAAGCCACAAATTCACTAATGGTTTATAGTACACAGAAAATGCGAACAAGTGCCTCAAATGTTTTTTTGTTAAATAATTACTGCTAGAAAGTAACAAATATATTTAATAAACCACCATTTTTGTTGAATCACATACGAAGAAATGTGAATAATATCTATTATGAATATTTGATTGACTTAATACTCACACAGTTTATCAACTAAATTAAGTAACTTAATGTTTAAGTAAAAACAGGCAATTTAAGTTTGCATAACATGTTGTCCAATTTTAAAAAGAACCATAGTCTTTCTATTAGTCCTTATAAGATTTTTGTATGGTGCAAGATACAGATACAGAAAGATGTCCCAAGAAACGATGCTTCTCCTAGTTCTTTAGCGTGCCATGTGTTTAAGTACTCATAAACGGGACCTCAAATTTTAATGACTGATCAGAAATTTTAGTTGAAACAGTAACCTGAAGTTTCCCGTTCTAGTATAGTCCGTTCAGTGCAAACCGGGGACTATAGGAACATTCGACGAATAAGCTCGGAATTTTGCGAAGGTGGCTACGGAATAACAAGGATGCTGATATTTTTACACAATATAACACGAAGTCTCTTCTGTGGCTCAGACCTTAATTGATTTTATTATTAAAATACAACAGTGGAACTATCAGTAGTAAAGTGCTTGGCCTTGCCCATCCATACTATATCATTAGGGTCGTTCCCCCACAAAGCGAAATGTCATTTATCAATTCATTAATAGATTCAAACGGTTCATTATTAGTGAGAAATGTTGTTTAATAATTATAATGTTTAATACGACTACGAATTTGTTCATTATCTTTTTTACTTTACAATTCCGAAGAGACACACCTATTTCTTAGAAAAGATTACGAAACTGCTATCGACTAGATATTGGATATATAGTTCTCACATACAATTGCTTTCCTTTTTTGTCATTAGTTATATAATTAGTATGACATATATATGTTTATTTGATATAAATGTCCGTCCGTCCGTTAGTATGAAAATTAAAAATATTTTTTTAAGTAAAATTCTAAGTTCAAAGCGCATGCAGACATTGGTGCTAGAGTGTGTGGGTGATGATCAAAGTTTAATGTTAATCATTTAGCAAATAAAAATGTTAAACTAGTAGAAATATAAAAACAAATCTTCGCAAAATTTTAAGTTTAAAGGGGAGATAATTATTGTGGAAATATATAGTTGCAAGTGATATAAATCTTATGTCATATGATGTAGATTGATGATAAAAATAATAACAATAATGAATAATACGTTTACGATAATGCCCGAGACAAATGTGAAAATGGCACAAATAACTGGCCATGTAAAATTAGAAAACTGCTCGCGGTACATGGTTTTGCCGAAATATGGAATTTTCCCGACAGTGTATTGATGAAACAGTTCTTACCTATTTTTAAACAAAGACTTATCGACTGCATGTTACGTGCAGATGTATCTAGTAATGTTGTGTGCTTAGACTTACACGCCTTCGAGTGTCCTCCCACAGACTTAGAATTGAGTCCGAAAGGTATGGTCGCGCCCTGTAGCACGCCACGAAAGAACTTGTCAATTCTGTGATGCTAACGAGCTCGAAGACGAATATCATTTTGTTATAAAATGCAGTGCTTATGAAAATCTACGTAGCCAATATATTAAGCGTTATTTTTACATTCGGCCTAGTATGGCCAAATTTATAGAATTACTGCAATCTCAAAGCCATAAAGTACTTACAAACTTATGCTATTATTTAAAAAGGGCAGACATCAGACGAAATGATAAATCTAGAATTTTTCAAAAGTACTATGATGCTCTTTTGATTATAATTATAATTATACCGTGATGTTCTTTCTTTATATTATTTAAATATTTTGCCAAACAAATTCGATTAAAAGCGAAGTTATAGTTCAATTGTTCTCCGCTTAAATTTAGTAATCTTCATTATTCATTTACAGAAGTAATTTATAGATATAAATATTAATTGATAAATGGAGTTTTGTCACTATCTGTAATGTATTGCATTGTATGTAGTAAATATCCCATTGCTCAGTATTGTATTGATTTTTTTCTTTATGTGTGTTTTTCCTATTTTGTAAAATATGTGACCTAAAATTATATTTCAAAATGCTTGTTATGAAATAAACTTTGTTCTGTTCTGTTCTGATGATAATAAACATATTTTTGAATTGAATCCCTTCAGTTATAAAGAAGTTAAGGAAAAATATAACTTTAACGCTAAAGTTGTAGATTCGTTTTGAAACGTAGGGACCTTGATATAACACACAATAATGTGACATGAAAATAATTGACGGCACTAAGAACAGTGGACCTAGTACTACTAGTATTTAATAGCACCATTAACATTTGCAACAGTAGCCGGTTAAATAAGCCACACGGGCTATGTTATCTAACAAGTTGTTCTTTTTTCAGTATTTTTATTTACTATAGTATCTTTTTTTTGCAAAGTGGAGGGGGATTAATTTAGGTTATTGATAATTTATATTGGGGTATCAGTATTCTCTACAACTTTCCATAAGTTTCATAGGCAATCATGAAAAAATAATGTAAATCAAACTCCCTATTGATATTTAATCCCCTCAGTTTTTGTCATAAAGTGGTCGTCGGTTTTGGAATTTTTAGGTCGGGGACTACGAAATCGATTTTTTTAAATAGCCCTTTAACCTTAGGGGAAATTGGGTTTTCCCTAAATTTTTTTTTAAAAAATTGTTTTTTTTTTTTAAACGGTGTGATTTTTCCCCAGGAGGTAAAAAATTGAAAACACAAAAAAATGATTTTTGTTATTGGGGGTAGCAAACTAAAAAATTTACAAAATGTTTTTAAAAGGGGAAATTATCCCATTTTTTTTTAAAATTTTTCCTACAATAAAAAGGGACGGGAAAAATTTTTTTAAAAAAGTAAATATCCAGTTTAACAAATTTTTTTTTAGAAAACTTAAAAAATATTACTTTTTTATCAAAAAAAACAATAAGTAAAATTTTTTCTAAAACCTTAAAAAAAAAAGGTTTCTTTAAAAAAAAAATACTGGGCCAAAATCAAAAACTGGTTAACATGCAAAATCATGTTATTTCTAAGTTTTAATTGCATAACAATGATATAATAATTATTTCTTGTAAGTAAAAAAATACCCATTTTGTAAACATTGAAAATTATAGCATATTGATATTGATTATTTTTCAAAGTTGGACAACTTCTATTTTAGGTGTTCCTTTTACTTGTTTTAAATTTGACTCTATAAAATTTATAATTATTCATAAATTAACCTTAAAGTTAAAGAACTGTCATATTCCTGTACATCTTATTTTAGAACTATCCTTTACATTTTATTTAATAGTGGCAAAAAGTATCAATTACATTTTATTTTAGAGCTATCCTTAAAATTTAATATGAAATGGTAAGAAACATCCTTTTGATTTTATTTTAGAGTGGTTAGAACTATCACTTAATTTTTATTTTAGAGCGATCAATGAAAAATATTCTTATATTCAGTCCTTCCCTGTTAATTTTACAGGAAGTCAAACTGATAGCACACGAACTTCTTCCGAAATACACCACATTTTTCAATCTCCTACGCAGTGATCTTCCCTTATCAGTACAGAGATCTCTGCCATCACAAACATTCAAATATCAACATTTGATATTTGATATTTTTTAACTTTTGAATTTATTTTTCATTATTTTGTATACTTTTGGTATTTTTTTGGATAAAATATAACGAACGTAGGTACAAAAGGTTAAAAATAAAACAGAAAGAGAAAAATGACGTTAGATTTTCTTTGTAACGGTCGGTATTTACATTTGAATTTCGACGTTACGTCATGTGACTTCCATCATCATGTGAAGGCAGTGATTACAATTCTGCCAAGGGAGGTAATCACTGTGAGGAGTTTGCACATTTTTATTCAAGCACATGGTATCCTTTTACGGGTTTTGATCCCTGCACTATTTTCACTCAACCTGTCGTTAAGTCGTAAATCATCCTTTACCATCAGATTGCATAGGTAACAATTAAGTCAATAACATATATATGTTTGATATGTACATGATCGAATCCTTGAGAAAAACCCATATATAAGGTAGCATCTGCTGTTATATTATGACAGTTAACCGCTTGCAAGATTGCTCCCAACAATGCATATGAGCCACGTCACGACAAAACCGACATAGTGCGTTTGCGACCAGCATGGATCCAGACCAGCCTGCGCATCCGCGCAGTCTGATCAGGATACATGCTGTTCGCTTACAAATACTATATTAAGTAGAGAAACTGATAGCGAACAGCATGGATCCTGATCAGACTGCGCGGATGCGTAGGCGGCTGGTCTGGATCCATGCTGGTCGCAAACCCATTATGTTGGTTTTGTCGTGACGCGGCTCATATCTATACTTAATGTTTAAAGGCACATATAAAGCCTCATAAGTGAATAAGATTTACATGTATTTGTTTCCTGTGAAGAGAAGGCAAAATGCGTTGTATGTTTTATGTCTAGAGTGTAGTGTTGAAGATGGAATATTTGGTTATAAAGTGACAAAACGTAAACAAAATAGGTAGTTTGTCTCACAGGGATAAGCCGCTTTGATTTGATATCATCATCTACCTCTCCACTCCCTCAGTCCCAG